TTCGTCCAGGGATCCCACTTGGCATTGAAGCCCCCGGCGACTACTACGACGTCCGTTGATCGAACACTTTGGAGTAATTTCGAAAGATCCTTGTAAAATTCATCCTTCATTTCAGGTGTACTGTAATCAGTCGGTGCATACACCGGTACGATGAACATGCATCGACCTTTCATTCTGTAGCTGTTGACCCGTGCTAAACCGTTGAGACGCACAGCACAGTCGGCTGCTGACTGGAATCCAGTCAAGAAGCGTGGGCTCCGCCTTGGCACTTGGCGCAATCCCGACACCAGCCTCACCGCGAGCTTCGGATGCCGAATCGCCTGACACACAAAGGTGAAGCGTGAGGTTGAGGTTGAATCAGGAGAACGCAGGGAGATAATTGAATTAGGGTCTTTCATACGTGTTTCGCAGACTCAACATACATCTAAATTGCAAGTTTTAAAGGTTCCAGCTAAGGCAGCTTGTGGAACGATCTGAAAGAGTGTGCGGACATTGAACGCGGCTAAGTGAAAAGGGGATTTTGGCTTTAAAAATCCTGTAACTTCTGATTGTCTGGCCTTGCTTGTAAAACGCTGATTGATTTTCGATGGATGGCGTAAACATGAGGTATCTGGGATTATTTGGGATTGAGAAGAATTAGACAGATAGGAAAGATGGTTTTCCAAATGAGTGCCTAAGACTTTAGGGCACGACGTACTTCGTGGCAGCCCACACCGACGAAGGGGTTTTTCTTTTGAGAATCCTAACCGGAGCCCTCGACTCAAAAGTTTGACCCGCAAGGTAGTGGGGCATAAATCCGACGCGGAGCGTGAACGAAGCACCTGTGTGGGATCTTCTAGAGGTCTGTCACTCAAGGCCTTCAAATTTCGATCAGTTGTGTTGTTAGCTAGTGCGTTGATTGTCGGTGCGCTTTTCGGGATCAGCCCTCAGCCTCATGCACCCAATGAGACAAGCGGAACGTAGACGGGACAGCACCTTATTGGCTGGGGGCTGCCCAGCTTGGGCAGGCGGTAGCTGTCCAATGAAGTGCGAAGACTTCTCCGACCGTCGAGAGGAAGCCCTAGGTACCCTGCTCCTACGTCCATGTAGCGGGTTTTTTGATCGGTAGACTGCCCTTCGCCGTGTTTGTTTGCTGGAGTGACATCTCCGGAGGCGAATGTGGATAGGAGGAAGCCAGGAGGTGCCCAAGTAGCTGGCTTTGTGAAACTGAGCTTTGTCTGGTCTCTACCCGTTGACCTTTCAGGCATGATTGGATCTACGGCTGTGAAAAGCCATCCTGTGTAGCTCGCAGGGTCATGGAGGCACGCAAGCCATCACACCACGCCAAGGTGCAGTCTCGTCGTGACTCATGCCAATAAATTACAATATATGTCATTACTTATATCATAAATCCGCAGGACGGTGTCGGGACCAGGGAAGTTATTTATTACGAGCAACTGTAAGGGTATCGGTAAATTTACATACATACAACAAAATGTCTCATTTGGAACAAGTCTTCGGAATTCCCACAAACATTGGATGATTAGTAGAACGGTCTGACGGCAGATGCGCGTTTCCCGTAGTTACCATTTTGTACACAGTACTTCACTCTAAAAGGTCTTATTCATTTTTAACTGCTGAGAGAAACAGCCAGCCACGTTCTTTTGCGCAATCTTAACATATTGCTCGCAACACATATATTGTGTGTAACATATAACAAGTAAAAATGCTAATTTCCAGCCAGTAAGCTTTCTATAACGAAACAAACATACAATATAATGCCTGTAGTGTTGTATTCAAGTAATCTAAACAATATTCATTTATTTGATGATCAACGAAGATCACTGGGAGGCTGTTTTGTCCTGGCTAGGATTCACTAGTGGTTGCGTATCCGCAAGGCTCGGGTGGCTTTCGCTAACCTACGTCACTTGTGGCGCAGACGCTATCTCAGTCTCTCTTTGAAAGGCCGCATTTACAATGCCACAATACGCACTGTCCTACTCTACGGCTGAGAGAGTTGGCCTCTCCAAGCAGAAGATGTACAGAGATTAAGTGTCTTTGACCTTCGTTGCCTTCGTTGCATCGCCAGAACACGTTGGCAACAACTAATCACCAACGACGAGGTTCGCCGAAGAATCTTCACCGCAGACAATCNCAGTTGTTCTCTGAGTGCCGTCTTCTCGCTCCAGAGACTTTAATGCTCGGTCTGTGTTGCGGATACCGGCTCAACGATTGCCCCATTGTGTTATGTTTGCGCAAGCAGACACTAACTGGAAGCGGCGACACGGTGGACAACAAATAACCTGGACTCGAATACTTTAGTTTCCTTAGTAGGACTCGAACTGCGACCCTCCAGGAAGGGAAGTTAAAACCCGTACTCCCTAGCTACGCAGTTGAAAGGTATGGTTTTGTTTATTAAATCGGACGTTTTTGTAGAGTATTTCGTACAACTTCACAAACACGGATCGAACCGAGCGAGTGAGTGATCGTTATTCCTGTTTAGCTCTCATCCATTGCGGTTCGATAATTCCCCATATATTCTTGATGCATGTTATTTTCGATAAAATTCAACTTTGGAAACATCTGTTGTTTGTTTTCTCGAGATAATCATAGCTTTTGTTAATTTTAAAAAGGGTTTTTTGTTTCTGAAAATCGTCAGTCCAGATGAAACAGAGGTGGGGCTGGAAATTAGTAGCGACAAATGTTTTCGGGACTTCCTCGTACGAAAATAAGTTCTACATCTTCCGCAGTGTTGGATGAGCTCGTTCGTTTGATGGATTTGTTTTTTCCTTTCCTGTGGCTTGCTGTGCTTAATTGAAATTTCCACATTTGACATTCTGTGCTCAGTCTGTGATGATTTCCACCGTTCTAATCATTTCCTCCAGCTGTGCGTTCACCCAGGATATTATGATCAGTTGGTGCGTCAAACCGAAGGCCGAATCAATTATGTGGTCGAGGAAATTGAACGTGACTTACATCGATCACTCCCTGAACATCCCGCCTATCACACTCCGGAGGGAATCGCGTCGTTGAGGCGTGTCCTCACCACCTACGCTTACCGTAATCCGAGTGTGGGTAAGTGTGCCTCTCTGTGTTTGTGAGCACCCATCAAAAAAACAACCCATAACTGAATCTGCGAAGACAGACGAATTGGTTACAAATGTTTCTTCGTGGATGTGAACTCAATTTGAGATTTTGCATTCATCGTAACATCGAGAAGTTGCAGACTTTTCACAGTTCCATTTTATTTACTGCATACTCTGGAATAAAATCTAGGTTTACATGGTTCGACGGAAGAAAGAATCGAAATTATCCATATTTCAAAATACTTTGAGCTGATGAAATTCTCACTGGAGATCTTTTATAAGCCCATTTCATGGATTGCACAGACTGACCTGTAAATCTGCGATGGTATTCGACATATCAGATCGTATTGTGTTTGAGTGGAAGTTTTTTTTGGTGTGGATTGAAATTTATTTGTGCGATCGCATTTCAGTTCACCAGACCTAGACAATTTAGTGCGTACACATACACACACACACAAGTTGGGCCACGGGGCCGCTGTGCGATCAACACGGCAACGATTGTTACTTTTTCACTACTTCTGTAGACAAAGCATACCTTCCGGTGAGGACTGCGAGTGAGGATGGTTGGTGACGATGACTCTGGGTGATGGTGGTGCAGTTTGGTGGTAGACAGCTTTGCTGTCGTCCGGTTCAATACCGCGCCTGACCTATCGGGGCCTCATGTGGTTCACCACTCCAAGTCCCGGGGCTTATGTTACCGGTTTCCATCACCCTCTTCCTTCTATTTATCATTGGTCTCCTTTCCCAAACTTCCAACCCGATCCATTCTTTTGCTGATGACGTTACCCTCCACTGCTCCTTCTCTCACCGCACTGCTCGCCATGCCCAAACCAACATCGATCGTGACTGTAGTGCAGTTAATGTGTCACTGGACTCCGATCTTGAACACATCTCCTGGGGAATTGCAAACCACGTTTCGTTCAATAGTTCTAAAACCTCTCCTTTCAATTTCTTTAAAACACCATTCACTCTCCCCTCATTTGTCCTTTGATTCCACCCAACTGCGTTCCATAGACTCTGTTTCCCTTCCTCAATTGCCTATAACTTCTTTATGCTGGTCCTTTCTTATAACTAAGCTTGGTTCTTGTGTTGCGCTCAAGGTTGGATTTCTATTTTGCGCCAGACGTTTTTTCACCCCAGCTCATTTTCTTCTATTCTACAAAGCTCACATCCGCCCTGCTCTTGAATACTATAGTCACGTATAGGGTGGGGCTTCGTCTTCATCCCTTTCCCTTCTTGATCGTGTTGAACGAAAGGCCATCCGGCTAGTCAATGATCCTTCCCTAACATCCAGTCTAACCTCGCTAGCCCATCGTCGGGCAGTTGTTTCTTTGTCCCTGTTCCACCGCTACTACTTTGGTTTTTGTTCTTCGGAACTTGCCTCGGCAGTTCCTCTTCCTGCAACTTTTACCCGCCCATCCCGTACACAGGCATCTAATCATCCTTATCAGGTTTCNAAGGCCATCCGGCTAATCGATGATCGTTCCCTAACATCCAGTCTACAGTCGATAGCCCATCGTCGGGCAGTTGCTTCATTGACCCTGTTCTACCGCAACTACTTTGGTTTTTGTCCTTCGGAACTTGCCTCGGCAGTTCCTCTTCCTGCAACTTTTACCCGCCCATCCCGTACACAGGCATCTAATCATCCTTATCAGGTTTCTGTTCCCAAGTGTCTACTTCAATCCTCTTTTTCCCCCAAACTGCCAAACTGTAGAACACCCTCCCCCTAGTTGTTTTTCCCCCAACTTACAATCTTACACTTTTTAAACGCAGAATCAATAAACTGGATCTTACGTGAATGTTCTCATACTCTCCCCTTTACAGTATGCTATTTGTCCTTGGGGATTTCCCCGTTTACTTTAATTCACATTGCGCAATAAAAAAATGAACAGCAGGTTCTCGCGACTATGGGGTTCACCCCTCTCCCGTTCATCACCCGAAAGTGTGTAATAAAAAAAAGAATACAACTAGCCTTGTGGACACGTTGATTTAACCATGAGTATGTGTTCAATTTCAAACTAAGCCGAGACCAGATTGCGTGCCAAACATTTCATGCTATAATAAGAAAAACTGTCCAAAATTTGCTCTTGGACCGAGTACTTCCAGGTTGCCTAGGCCCTCATAGGTGCATTCTGGATGGTCATACGTAACCGTAGCCTTCGGTTGGCTAAAACCTGACCCACAAGGCGATTTTACATTGATTTAACTAAGAAATCAAGCATATCATTAGCCTGAATTGTACATTGATCTGGATTCTGGACTGTGTGCTAAACTTATTATCGTACAGAAATCTTTTATAATACCGTTTTGCTCAATCAGGATGGGTAAGTTTTTGTAAGAGTTGGAACTTTCGGCTAGCAAAGTCCTAATCCACGAGGCAGCGATGGACGAAGAATGCACTTTCTTAAGGTAGCTTTTTTAGTCGAGTGCTTTTCAAGACGATGTTTGAGCCTTCGTAATCCCCAATGCACGATGTTGCGGAATCGAACCGGTGATCTCCGAGACTGAAGTGTTTAGTAGAGAGTAGAAATCGGAACCTTCCATCCCTCCTAGATGAGCCACCTTCTCGTTGCTCATCTACACTTTTGGAATCTCAGATATTAGGTCGTCACCTTCGCAATTTCGTGGAACCACTCTCATATCGGAAAACCGGTAGATATAATATTCCTGACAGACGTTTTAAGATGTCTACTCTTGGCGATAAGAAACAAATCCCTGTCCAGAAGCCTAGAGGCCCTCAGTGAGATAATTCGGACGCTTTCCTACTGTCATAATCGGTGCATTTTGCAATATAAATCAATTAATTCTCAATGAATTCCAAGGACGGTTAGTTATCAGTCAAAACCACACTGAACTTTCGGACAACGGTATATTATCTGTGCTATGTATTTCTCAATGTTCTTTCAATATTGTCATTCGAAACTAACCCCTTTTCATACCTAAATCCGCTGTTTTTCTGTCATGTTTACTCACGAATGTAGCCTACGGTTAGTCGACTTGATTGTGTAGTGTTTTTAAAGCATGCGCAACACAGGGTAACGCTGTGACGTGGGGTTTCCATATCCGTCACCGATCAATCGTATGTAGAACGGTCGGTTGATTGATCATTCTTACCTTATAGTTTGAAGATGTGGCCATCACACTTACAAAATGCCAGAACACTGTCAGCGTTAAAATATCAATATTTTCAAAAAGTTACTCGCATCTTGTGGGGCATCCAAATCAGAAGCAATTTACAATCTGAGCTGATTAGGACGTGTATGAAGCACGTTGTCAGGTTGATTTTCTCGGTAAACAATGTTGGTTAAGGTGAGTGATTATTTGTGACGGGATAAGAACGGCCAATCCACAACCCGGTTTACAACTTAATCAATGGGTCGTATTAGGTCATCTAGTCATGGTTCATCTCTGACTGGAAGCAATGCACGATGTGGTTAAGTGTCTCGTACAACGGCTGTTCGAATCTTTCTCACACAACAAAATTTATTACTTACCTTCCATTCTGTGGAATTTCCCGTGTTATGATTCCCAAATAGAATACCAAAGACAGTCACCAAAGCCAGGACTTTGTTACGCCAGTTAATTGGTTGTCTGAATCGAAATGACAAATATCAGTAGAGGTGTTTCAGAATCTTTCAGGTCAAGTATCATATGGGACTGCTTAGCCTTTTTCGTGACATCGGAGCGGTTTGTGCTCCGGACAGGTTGCCGCGATGTCGCTCTCACTACAACTTCCGTCTAGGCGGTGATGCGCAATTCTTCGCTCATTAAAACAACCTGTAAATGTGAATCTTTGACTGTTTTGATATGCTTCAGGTGTACTACTGCAATTGGGTAATTCTTAAATTAGTTTGCTATTTTTCTCGAATTTCTTCATGTTGTAGGTTTATTTTGAATTTATCTGTTACCTCTACCCGGTCGAGTGATCAACTTTATGCTTCTCTACTACGCCTGGTCAGTTCTACGCTATGCAGAGAATTAACGTAGACTGACGGTATCCGTATACCACTATAGTATGTGCAACGTCGCACGTTTACACATGCCCAGCTATCGTCGATATTTGTGATCATGTTCTGAATTGATTAGCAGATATCACAATAGCTAATATGCGTACAATCAAGCCTGTTCCGCGATAGAATTCCTCAAAGTACAATTTTTTTCGAGTTAGTCGGTGGTTATCAGACTAAGGCAAAATTATGAAAACTTTGATCAACGGACTTAGTCTTTTAGGTTGATTTGAGAACACTCATTCAGAGGCGAACAATTGTTTTCATTGATTCATCTTCTAGCCTGTACAGATCAAATAAGGAAATAACATTTTGAACGCGGAGAGATATTCAGTCATTCAAAAGTCACGATGATTGGTTGAAAGGGAGAGGAATGAGGGGGAGGGGTGAGTGGTGCGACGTGTTTCACGCCCCTAGTTAATCAGCACAAAGCAGAAATCAAACTGATGCGTCATCCGTTCCATTGATCTTCGGCCACCGCAGTTGATTGGCATGGGCCAATCTACTTCGCCTGTTCACCGACCTTGGCAATTTGTTTGCAAACGTTTTATCACCAGCCGAGGTGACATCATCAGCGATTGTGAAGTGACCGTAGCTCCGAGAACCGATGTTCAATACTTTGTCAACATGAGCCAACCTCTTTTGTGCACATAGATTGGGTTTAAACAAATGCATGCCGATCCCTTCCGCGGGGGCTGGGGTGTGGAAACGCAGCGTTTTGGATGGGTGGGTTTTTGATTTTCCGGTCGGAGTCTCCGGGATCAGCCTGATTGTTGGTTTGAAATCAAGTGTTATGAGCAGTACCGCTTGGGCATTTTATTCCTGCATGTTAGATATGTGTATCTTTACTGATGTAACACCGTTGGCTTACTTTCGGGTTCTGATCTTTTCTTCATTTAATTTCCAAGTGGTTAACCAGAAGATCGCAAATCAATTTGATGTAGGGATTTTAGAAATTGAATTCAACGGTTCTGTACTGAGTGAGTGAATCTTTTAATGCAGTACTTTTTGAGCGATAATTCTGCCGTTTCTTCACTCTTTCCATAAGTGGCTAGTTATTTGGCTGTATTCAATCTAACTCGTTTCACTCTACCTTTATTGTTCCACTAAGGCTACTGTCAATCCATGAACATAGTCACCAGTGTGTTGCTTCTCTACTGTACCGAAGAGGAGGCTTTTTGGTTGCTCACGGCCATCTGTGAACGGTTACTGCCGGATTATTATGATAGTCGCGTTGTCGGTGTCCGAGTAGACCAGTTTGTTCTACGCGATCTCCTCTCGGAGTACATACCCAACCTGCTACGCTTCACCTCTCCTGTCGGTTCGTCCGAGCGTCGTCTGTTGTCTG